GGGAAATATCACGTTAAAAGGTCGCTGTGAGGTTGCTCTCGTCCCTAGTCGATGTCTCGGTCAGTGGTTGGAATGTTGTACATTGGCTAGGTAACCCACGTAACTGCCGAAACTCGATACGTTGTCGTCACATTGTCGACCGCTGCCGCCAACCGTTCGGAATGTCGTAAATTCTGCTTAAAAAGCCCAATTAAGCCCCCGGTCGTACAAACATTGCACAGACTGCCGTGCTTCCTGAAAATATCGTAAATTTAATGCTGAGATTCGGTGAAAGTCGTGTGTCTCAGAACTGTCTACATAGAAAGGTAGCTTGTGGCTCCAAAGCATCGATCAGGGCGATTGTGGCATGGGAAATTACGTTGTAATGCACGCTTAGTTCCTAGACGTAGACAATATTGCAAAATAAGAAGTTTGTAAAATATATAGACTGAACGTGATATTAACAACAGATCAGCAAGCGATCGGCAACTGAAATAGGACAAAGAAACTCATGTAGAAAGAGCGTCTCGGCTGTGTAATCATACACGTTGGATCGTGTGTGTATCTTGTAGAGGACGACTTGAAACGTCCGGCCTTGCTGATCAATCGATTTCTTTTGTCTCTGAAACATAAATCGCAGAAAAGGACCATGCTTGGCAAATAAATATTATGGTTATATTCGGGTAAACATTTAGCCCTTTTTCTTTAGTTCAGTGGTCGATGTGAACGTCAGACAACTGGAATTTGTGAGTGAATGCTGTTTTCAGCCGCTTTCAGAACTTCTTGTCGTACCTGGTGCATGACAATCGGAATCGAACCCAGGTTCTTGGTGTGAGCAGGATCCAGTTACCGGGTCACCCACGTGACACTGAGACAGCTGGAGAAGGTAGTTGTGCGAATGTACATTTCTCAGCTGGGTTGATGACAGATATATTCGTCACATCCGTTATAACAGATATATCGGTGAAGACAGTCATATCAGGCAGGTCAGTGAAATCGCTCATATCTCATACCAATCACACCAGTGACGTCATTCATACCTGTGACATCAGTGTCAGTTTTGTGCTGGCGGACGGATACCCCACCATTACCATGGGGCCGTGAGGTATCATCTTATAACGCAGAAACCAAAAACAATGTGGCAACTATTTGCTGCATGAATGAGACCGAAGACATTTACAGCTTTGGTGACACCAGGCATATGGTGACAGTGTATACTGAGTCAAAAAAAAACTTCACAAAATGTAATTTGAAAAATAATGAATAATTTTTCTCTGATGGTACATCTATGTATCCGAAATGGGATCCCTATCTTTCGACTCTAGAAAAACGTTAGCAAAACCCACTCAAACCCATCCATTCGTCGTGCAAATGACGTTAGTGCCAAATCAGGTTTTGCACGTGCAGTCGATCACGTGATCTTCGCATCGAAGTTTTCTTCATATGCACGTGTTTGCATTGGCCTCAAGAATTGAAAAAACACTTTTAAACCACAGTTCTAACGGTACTTGAAATGCCACGATAGTCCACTGTGCAACGTGAACGTGCCGTTGGCATGTTGCAAGCGGGAAGATCAGTTATTGACGTCGCAAGAGCAATGGGATGCAGCCGTCGTACTGTGTATGACTTGCGAGGTCGTCTACAACAAACTGGCACCACTTCTGATCGCCCAAGGTCGGGTCGTCCACGTGTGACGTCACGAGCAGAAGACCGTCAAATCGTCCTACGTCACCTACGTGACAGATTTCTGCCAGCTACACGAACCAGGGCTGAGATGTTTAGAGGTCGACTGTCCTCACAGACCATTCAAAATCGGTTGCGGGCTGCCAATCTCCATTCTCGACGTCCATATCGTGGGCCAATATTGAAGCCGTTTCATCAACGTCAACGTCTGCTGTGGGCCCAACGTCACCTCCGATGGACCCAGAGACTGGAATCGAGTCGTCTTTAGCGATGAATCCGGGTTTACCCTCAGATTCGCGGACGGCAGGCATAGAGTCTGGAGACGACGTCGTGAATGGTATGCCCAATGTTGTGTACAGGAAGTCGACAGATTCGGGGGCGGAAGTTGCATGGTGTGGGGTGCTTTCTGTGGGAACAACCTTTCCCGACTTCTGGTCATCTGTGGAAACCTCACAGCTGCTGCTTACCGCGACCAGGTGCTCACCCCTGAACTCGTTCCTTTCATGGCGGCTCATAGCCCAGGTATACAGTTCCAGCATGATAATGCTCGGCCGCATACCGCGATGTTGACACGAAATTTCCTTCAAAACGCTGGAATCAAACTCATGGACTGGCCATCGAGGTCCCCTGACCTTAATCCAATAGAGTACGTTTGGGATGCACTTGGGAGAAGGCTTCGTGGTCTTAGGAACCAACCTCAGAATTTGCACGAACTTGGCTCTGCCTTGCAAGAGCAATAGCGCAGAATCCCCAACCACGTGTTCACAAGCATCAGGCAGTCGATGAGGAGACGGTGTTTGGCAGTGGTGAATGCGCGGGCGGCCATACACGATATTGAACTGAGAAATTTCGCATTTTTATTCTTGTGACTTGACATTCTGTATACCCATGTTTTGCAACGGCGGTGTAGCCTAATGGAACTGATTATGGCACTGTCAGTGTATCGAGTACATCACACAGATCTCAGCAATGAAATAATAACAATTTAACCAACTTACCATCTCTTGTTCTTTTTTTAGTGCCCTGAAGAAAGAATGTGAAGTTTCTTTTTTGACTCAGTATATATATTGGACATTTAGTCCGCAGAATAATGGTATGGAAATATATCTTTATCCCCAATCCAATCCGTTTTAAGTGGGGCCGAGGACAATCCTCAGTTTCAGATCTGCTGAGGCAGTCTAGACTTCCCAAATTGTTTTAGACCTGATTAGGACAACAATTCAATGTATTCTCTAGGCCCGGGAAACAAACTCACTGAGACAATCAAAACTTGCCAAATTCTATGTGAGGCGAGGTGAAATTGGGTTTATCGTCGTGCTTGAGAATATTTCGCTCATATGACGACGTGCATGCTCGTGTATGTGTGTGCGCGGCTGCTTGTACTAGCCCAGTGAGTGAGAGTGAGTTTAGTTTTACGCCGCACTCAGCAATATCCCAGCTATATGGCGGCGGCGGTCTGTAAATAATCGAGTCTGGACCAGACTGTACTAGCCCAGACTGAAGCTGGTTTTATAGTGCTAGCCCACAGAGATACCATGCCACAGTGAAGCATGAATACCCCACTCAGACACATTATACTGACTCCAAGCCGACCAGTCCTTGTTGTACCCATTAATGCCGAGCGCCAGGCAGGGACCAACAAGTACCATATTTTAACGTCTTTTGGTATGACGCGGTCGGGAATCGAGCCCGCGACTTTCCGCTCTCCGGGCGAACGCTCTAACCACTACACCACGGAGGCGGTTACCAAATTCTAGACTTGAGGTGGACTCCTGTTTGATTTATTCTCTTGTGTGAGTGAGTGAGTGAGTTATTATTTAACGTCACATCGGCAATATTTCAGCCATATCGTGACGATATTCTCTTGTGTCTGGGAGTCAGACGTACTGAAGCAATATAGACTTGCCCAGTCATTCTAGATTTGAGTAGGCCTGTTATTTGATTCATTCTCCTGTGTCTGGCAGTGAGACGTACTAAAGCAAACTAGACTTGCCAAATCGTTCTGGATTTGAGATGGAGTCCTATTTCATTTTTCCCTCTGACGTCAGTTTGTAGTTTGTTTTGAGCCACACTCGGCAACACTCCAGCTGTGTGATACGATGAGTGAGTGAGTTGGTTTTACGCTGCTTTTATCAATATTCCAGCAATCTCACGGCGGGGGGACATCAGTAATGGGCTTTACACAATATACCCATCGAATCGAACCCGGACCTTCGGCGGAATGAGCGAACGCTTCAACCACTAGGCTACCCCACCGCCCCAGTATACGCTGAAATGCATGGACGAAGTCAGTCAGCCTGATCCCCTGTCCCGTTAGGTGCCTCTTGTGACAAACAGGAGGAACCTTCAATTCCAACTCGGAATTTTACGGACCGTGATCTGATTTTGCTTGTGACATATATTTACATAACCGGAAGGAGTCCAGATAGTCCTTTCATTTTCTCTGCAAAAATCTAGACTTACCAAATGTGTAATGTGTTTGAAATGTGCCGTTGAGAGTGTCCACACCGGGGTTTCACCCGCCGGTCAATAGTGTTCGTGATGGAATTGACCATCACTCATCCTTCTAAAGCACTCAGATCAAGAGATCAGCGTGTTTATAGTGACTGTCTGTTTCCCGGCACCCGCAACATTGATTTATCGGCGGCGGCCGTCACGCGATGGACACTGCAGCAGCGCATAAACTGTCACGCACGTGCTGCACGGGATGAACGTGTTTGATGTCAAGGTGAAACACTTCAGTGAAGTTTGCTGTATCGTAGTAGCATCACGGAGTGTCGTCACAATGAGCTGATGAAGGCCCGAACGTCCTCACATCATGATAATGCTCAGCGGACTTTACGGGAGGGAACTCACTCATCGGCAGGGTGATGGGACTCGATCCGGCGGACATCTAAGGGCGGTAACTCTGCTCAGTGACGACACGACAACCGGCGGACATCTATCTGTGGTAACTCAAAGAAAACTTTGCAATCTACAAATCTATGGTATTTAAAAAGAGTGTAACACCTGCGTTTACTAGTGAGGTGTTAGGCTTAACGCCGCTGCTGGTAGAGCCGGTAGGCGACAGTTACATCTCAATGTGTCAGCTTGATGTGGGAGAAACGTTTCATTCATTCCTTGTTTTTTTGGTGGGAAACGTCGTCAAAAATTTCGAGTGATATCTATTATGAAATATAACTGAATCAGCTAGCTGAAGGGGCCCAGGGGTAATAAAGCACCCTTATCAATTGTCTTAAATAACGCAACATGTCACGCTTTGAGAGACTAAAGGGAACCAGAACCAACACATTGTTGGAGATACACACTAAAACCTGGAGATATATCTCTGATAAAACATGGGCGTAACAGAGATGGTCCAGGTAGATGGTTCAGGGAGATGGTCCAGGGAGATGGTACAAGGAGATGGTACAGAGAGAATGTCCAGGGAGATGACCAGTGAGATGGCCAGAGAGGGTCCAGGGAGATTCAGGGGATGGTCCAGGGAGATGATGAGTCCAGGAGATGGTCCAGGAGATGGTCCAGGGAGATGGTCCAGGAGATGGGCCAGGGGAGATGGTCCAGGGAGATGGTCCAGGAGATGGTCCAATGGTCCAGGAGATGGTCCAGGGAGATGGTCCAGGGAGAGATGGTCCAGGGAGATGGTCAGAGAGGTCCAGATGGTCAGGGAGATGGTCCATGGAGATGGTCCAGGAGAGATGGTCCAGGGAGGGGATGTCCAGAAATGGTCCAGGAGATGGTCCAGGGAGATGGTACAGGAGATGGTACAGAGAGATGGTCCAGGAGATGGCCAGGGAGATGGAGAGAGATGGTTCAGGAGATGGTCCAAGGGAGATGGTCCAGGAGATGGTCCAGAGAGATGGTCCAGGGAGATGGTAGATGGTCAAGGAGATGGTCAGAGAGATGGTCCAGAGAGATGGTCCAGGATGAGATGGTCCAGAGAGATGGTACAGGAGATGGAGATGGTTGGTCAGGGAGATGGTCCAGGATATGGTCCAGGAGATGGTCCAGGAGATGGCCAGAGAGATGGTCCAGGAGATGGTCCAGAGAGATGGTCCAGGATGAGATGGCCAGAGAAGATGGTCCAGGGAGATGGTTCAGGGAGATGGTTCAGGGAGATGGTCAGGTAAATGGTCAGAGAGATGGTACAAGGAGATGGTTCCAGGGAGATGGTCCAGGAGATGGTCAGAGAGATGGTTGGTCAGGGAGATGGCCAGAGAGATGGCCAGGGAGATGGTACAGGGAGATGGTCCAGGGAGATGGCCAGAGAGATGGTCCAGAGAGATGGCCAGAGAGATGTTTCAGGGAGATGGTCCAGAGAGATGGTCCAGGGAGATGGTTCAGGAGATGGCCAGAATGGGAGATGTTCAGGGCCAGATGGTTCAGGGAGATGGCCAGAGAGATGGCCAGGGAGATAGTACAGGAGATGGTCCAGGGAGATGGCCAGAGAGATCGTTCAGGGAGATGGCCAGAGACATGGCCAGGAGATGTTCCAGGGAGATGGTCCAGAGAGATGGTCCAGGGAGTTGGTCCAGGAATGAGATGGCCAGAATGGTCCGAGAGATTGTCCAGTGAGATGGTCCAGGGAAGATAGCCAGGGAGATGGTTCAGGAGATGGTCCAGATGGCCAGAGAGATGGCCAGGGAGATGGTCCAGGGAGATGGCCTGGGAGATGGCCAGAGAGATGGCCAGGGAGATGGTCCAGAGAGAATGGCCAGGGAGAGATGGTAGCCAGGGAGATGGTTCAGGGAGATGGTCCAAGAGAGATGGTACAGTATAGCCAGAGATGGTCCAGGGAGATGGTCCAGAGATATGGTACAGAGAGATGGTTCAGGAGATGGTCCAGAGAGATGGTCCAGGGAGATGGTTCCAGAGAGATGGTCCAGTGAAACACGTGGGGAAATAAACGTAGTGAATAAAGAGAGGCGGGATGGTCAGTACGTTAGTAGTGGTCACGTAAATGACAGTACGTTAGTAGTGACACGGTACCAACACGAGTTCTCGACCTTACAACAAAGGCAACTACTCGATATTCCACGAACTAAACACTGCATAAATTCATAAATTCACATTCGAGGCAGATTGCACTACACTAAACGCCAAAAGAAACGTTATCCTCCTTCCTTAATGACGGAGGTACCTATCTTCAGCTGGCGTTGTGATGCGTGAACGTCCTCTTCTGGGTCTGTCACGGTGACCCCAGTCTGTCTGAAGCCTTGAATAAGTCTTATAACCCTGATACGGTGGCATCCGAGGACGTTGGCAACAGCATTGTCTGTCGACCCCATCTGCACCATCCCAATGGCTCTTTCTCTCTCTTCAGCTGTTAATCGTGGCAAATTCCTCTTACTTGTGTATCATATCATGTATTCAGGGCTCTCTTCATACCCTATAGAATCATTCCACATGTGAAATTGATGCCAAGACTGATTGAATATTGCTGCGTTTTGGCGATTGATATTGCTATGTGTAAACAGAAAATGGATAAATATTATTTTGCAAGCAAAATGTTAACGAAGATAATTTTAGATGTTCCTAAACATTTTTTCACAAAGACACGTTTTACTTGTTTTCACTAATGCAAATCAGCAGAAAATGTTTTAAAAAACTGAAATCATAGGAATGATTATTTTACAATTTTACACACTCTACAACAGTTGTTTCTTGTTTTAATTCGCAAATGGTGGCTTTGAATGGTTTATCATTGTTCGAAAGTAGAATTTTATTTCAACCTTTCTTTTGGACATCAAAGGCACTGTTATTGGTTTATTTCGGCATGGACGAATATAGGATAATTCAATTCTTCTGAAAAAGATGCATTTCACCTAAAATATGAATGCATTTGAGAATTTTCTTTAGTGATTTGCATAAAGCTATGTTGTTAAGCTTTCTCGTAAACTAATACCTTCTAACATATCTTTGATAGTTTTTCAGTAATTCATAAAGGTAGGAGGGTAACGTTTCTTTTGGCGTTTAGTGTATTTCACATAAACTGTCCTGTTCCTGGGAGCCGACCCAGCATGTGTGTAGCCTTGTGTGATGTACTTCTCGCTTGGTAAGTTTCACGAAGCACGAGAGACTTGCGGTTCTATAGCTCTACACGTTACAGTTCTTTATCAGCATATAAATGTACTCATCACCGCCTACTGGACGGTGGTATTTGTCTGCGTTGTACGCCTGACGGAATGAGGCGTTGACAATAAAACGTGAGCAAGTGAGTTCAGTTTTACGCCGCACTCAGCAATATTTCAGCCATAGGCCGCCGGTCTGTAAATAATCGAGTCTGGACCAGACAATCCAGAGAACAACATCATGAGCATCGATCCACGCAACTGGGATGTGATGACATGTGTCATCCAAGTCAGCGAGCCTGACCAGCTGATACCGTTCGTCGCCTCCTCCGACAAACATGGGTTATTGAAGATCAATCTAACACGGATCTTCACGGGTCGACAACAAAAGGACAGACGTCAGTTTCACAAGGTGACCGAACGCATGGCAAGTCCAGATGTGTAGCTTCACGCCGGAAAAGGTGTCGTCAAAGTGGGAGTTTTAAAAGGAGACACGTCGAGGCAAGCCGTAAATGACGACACCCCTACTAGACTGTCTTATTAGATTAATTGCCCAGAGCACCAGTTCTTCCCCAGGAATGAAGAGGGAGTTTGGTACCATGGCGGGAGCACGGTTGTCAACATCAACAGATGAAACCCGGCTCTGTCAAGTCCTTCTGAAAAGCGTGACGTCATTTGAAGGCCCCAAAGGCCCCAACGACTACTGTTTGCCAGGTTAAACCAGGAACGGTCTGTCAGACATTGGCGTCCCAAATTAGTCGCAGTTCTACAGATTCACAGATGCTGGGGAACGTTGTTGGCGTCCAAGGGTCGAACATCCTGCCTCGACCAACGATTCGGGACCATGGTCCTAAGGGCGTGGTATTCTATATGTGTTAGATGGGATCACACGGGACAACTGACACTGACTGGCAAGCGATATGTTGACCAAATCCTGTCGTTGTCCTTTTCACGGAATGTCGGCAGGAATTCCAGGATGATGACACCAGACCACATCGTGCCCTAATCCTCTACCCTCTATCTACATCAAGTAGTGACTGGGGTTTTAGACTGACCTACCAAAGCACCGGATACGTCTGCTGGGGTATCTGTAGGGTGTTCCTCGGACGAGGGTCAGGATACAAGAACCGGCCAGCGGGGTAACCCTTCAGATGGATGTCAAGGTCACCCATTTACACTCTTATCGACAGTAAGATGTCGACAGTGTGTTGCCCCAAATGGTGGACATACCACATCAAATCATATAACATATTTGAGGCATACCTTGTATACTATGGCAGTTATAAATCCAGTTCCCTTTGCTGTTACCTAGAATTTGATATTCACGAATTTTACAACAGGCACAGTTATGTGAGGTTTGTGTGACCTATGCAGTCACAATTTTAATCCGGAAGACCTTATAAGATTGACTGACGCCGAGTTGAGACAGTGAGTTTAGTGGTAGTACCCATGTGGGGAATCGAACCCGGCTCTTCGCCATGACGAGCAAACACTTTAACCACTCGGCTACTCCACCGCCTTTAAACTGGTGGCATATTCCAAATGTCAAAGGATTTTTCTCCATTGATCCCTTAATTTTCCCAACAAACGTAGCACGTTTGCATGGCACGCGCCTCTACTATTAATAGAGCTGCTTATTCAACCCCACCCACCCCACCCCCCCAGTATAGGCGAAGTGTCTGGGTAACGCCCTCTTTCGCTGTCATATTTTCATGACCTCTCTCCCCAAACCATAATCGCTAACACAAACATACACGCACGCACGCACGCACGCGCGACCTCATTACTAAATGACCAGTCGTTCACAGACAAAGATTAAATTATACATGTTACTTGAGCTGTTAAACCCACCGGGCCTCATCACCGGTTCCAGCGAGTCAACAGCCTCATTAAATCTAGCTCTCGGCATGGATGCCGAACAAGGACATACATTGCCAGATTTGCGTTTGTCGCCAGCGTGGCTAAGTATTGGTCATTAGGTCCTGACCCGTGGTCAGGGAGATACAGTTTATAGCCACGGTGTATAACAACTGGCACCATCGGTATCGATTCCTGGTAATGACCAGAAGACTTACAATGACCACTACTGGACATTGCTGGTCAGCCGGGCGGAATGTATGGTCGAAGGATAATAAGCTCGCTCCGGCAACGACGTCTGTGGTCAATTCATCAAATTTAAGCACGTGAAAAGCGATATAAAGCAAATGTTCATAATGAAACTGACCAGTTGTCCCATATAGACAGATTCATTAAACGCTAAGTGGGGATAAACGTGATTTATCTTACCGCTCAATCATTGTTATTTAATTTAAGTAATTGGTGTGGGGCTAAATATCTCGATGCATATCTAAAGTGGAAACAGTGGTTTCTAAACCTTGTTCACATCTTTTAGTCTGATCCACAAAATGTGGGAATGAAACTCATACGCTGAACATTTATATCGTTGTCTGGATGAAAAACATATCCGCCACAACGACACTTCAACCCCTAGCGCTCCTCCACAACCCTCCCCCACTCCCGCCACAACGATCCTCAACCCCTCAACGCTTACCACAGCTCTCCGCATACCACAACTCTCCACCATAACTCTCCACCACCCTCTCCCACCCACCTCCGCCACCACACTCAACCTCAACGCCCTACCACAACTCTCCACGACACTCAACCTCAACGCCCTACCACAACTCTCCACCATAACCCTCTCCCACGACACTCAACCTCAACGCCCTACCACAACTCTCCACCATAACCCACTCCCACGACACTCAACCTCAACGCCCTACCACAACTCTCCACCATAACCCACTCCCACGACACTCAACCTCAACGCCCTACCACAACTCTCCACCATAACACTCAGCCTCACTCAACGCCCTACCACAACCCTACCACAACTCACCCATAACCCTCTCCCGCCCTGACAATCTAACTCAACGCCCTACGACAACCCTCCACCACAACGCTCAATGCCCCTACCACAACGCTCAACCACAACGCTCCACCACAACGCCCTCAACCACCACAACTCTACACCATAACCCACTCCCCACGACAATCAA